AATCACCTTGCAACCAAAAGAATTGGTTGAGCAGCCTCGACCAATTACCCAAAATCAACCGTCTTCCTATCAACTGAAAGAAGGAAGATTTTATCCAACAATCCAAATGGAGCCCGAATTCTGGGATCCAAATCCAAATAAAATTTGTGAAAACATCTTTCCGCCAAGTTTTCTATTTAAACCCCTTAGTCTTAATAAGACAAGGACATTTTATGAATTTATTTTGGTGGATACTAAATCTGTTTCTGTAAAACACAATTTTCAAAAGGCGAATAACCAGTTTATCACCCATTCAACATTTCAAATTCTTAAAGTTCTAACTTTCAAAGATTTTGAAAAAAAACCAAATCAAGTCAGGAAGTTTTCCCAGCCTTTTGATCCAATAGGATATAACTACTGGGATTACATTAATGCTTGGACTTATGTTTTCTGGTTACAGAACAAAAATCATAAGCATTCTTGGCTTATCTATTTTAAACAAAAAATCCGATATTTCTTCCCTCAGTGGTTTTCTGAATGGTGGGAATATTTTGGACCAATCCAAAGTATCCTTCCCCAGGACATCAAAGAAGGATACAATCAATTTAAATCAAGGTTTGAAGAGGGAGATAGTGCAATTCATTCTTCTCTTCACTTCTTTTCCAAATTTTTCCTGTCCTAGATTTTTGTCTGGCAACATCAATATAAGAAGAATTCCAAGCTTCTTCCAATCCTGGGAAAACAAGCCTCAGTCAAATGGTGGGATCAATTTGACGCACCCCGGGAAAATACTCAAGGAGTGGCTCTATGGTTTCAAAAGAACCCAATGAGTCTTAAAGTTGCCGATCCAGAAACCTGCCAGTTTCTCAACCGGAAAGCTAAAATCGCTGCCGCACTTGCAGCCGCAACCAGTGATGAAGCTTTAGCCACAAATCTTCATCAAATACTTGATCTCCTACAGACAGACATAGAATCCAGTTCTTCAAAAGGAAAAGCTAAAAAGGAAGTCTCTTCTCCATCTTCCTCATCCGGATCATATTTCCAGAATAAAGATGACTGCTTCGGTATCAATCTTAATGAAGCATCTGAAGAAGACTGAGTTACTTCAATCTTCAAAATTATCCAGAATTCTTATGATAATTTTGTTAAGAGGAGGGCATGTCCATGTTACAACTTGGGAGTACCCTGCTCCACATATCATCATCGTCACTTATCGATATTACTCCTCCCAGACTATGACCATGGTCATCCACCCAATCTGAAGAAGTCAATCAAAGTCAACAATCACTGCTCCTTTTGCGGAAAGGAACTGTTCACTGTAGCGGAAGCGGAAGTGCACTGTTCACTGTAGCGAAAAACTTCATTTTATTGTTGTAATAGTAAATTTAGTTTTCCTATAAATTTGAATCCTGCCCACATTGTAAGGCAGAACTTGGAATCAAGTGTAAGAGAGCCTAGAGTGAGAAACTCCTCCTTCTCTCTTGCCTTTGTAATTTCTCTTCAATCAATACAATAATTTTGTATTAAACTTATTTTGTATTTCATCTTCATAAAATTTGTTGTGAAAACCTGGGATTTGTAAGCCTGATTCGTCAGGTGTGCCCTTGATATCCAGTATTGTGCGGATTTCCGCAAAAGGAGCAGTGTCATTTTCTTCATAAAAGTGCTCTGGAGATGGTTCTTCTTTTGGACTGAAATAAAGAGGTGAGTTGATCATTTCCAGTTGATCATGTTCGCTTTTTTCTAATGCTTCACACTGTTTTTGCCTTTTCTAGTTGATCATGTTCTCTTCTAGATTCGATAAAGCTTCTGGCGTGAGAGAGAGGGTGCAAGACACCCTCTCTAGTCACCGCAACGAGTTGATCTCTCTTCTCTCCAGGTGAAAGTTAGAGTTGTGATTTTGGCAACCGGGTATTCTTAGATTCTTCGTGAATGATAAGTATGTGTGTGATAATAACTACTATTTTTGTTGCAAAGGTATGTTGTTGTGGGCAAAGGAATACTACAATCACATGACCTGAGGCACGAGGTAGAAAAGATTCTTGAAGAGGATGAAGGGATGTGGAAACTCAAAGATAGCCCCTTTGTCAAAGAGCTAGAATCTGCAAAGGTTAGCTAAGTATATTTTCATAAGTTATAGCTTTGATAAATGACATACAATAGTTGAATTTTCTCGAGTTTTCCTTGTCATTGCAATTTTTAAAAAGCTTTTGTTCCTGTTGTTGCCACAGGAAGCCATAGTTATACCTCCTTTTGTGTCAATGGCTTTGCGTCCAAGACCTGGTGTTTGGGAGTATGCTCGTGTTAATGCATTTGAACTCAATGTGGATAATCTGAGTGTTACAGAATATCTACGATTCAAAGAAGAACTTGTAGATGGAGAGTAAGGGTTATCTTTGCTATGTGAATTATTTTCTGCACTACTTTTTGAATTTATTCTTTACCATCCCCCAAAGTGTTGAATGAAATAAATGAATTGCGTGGCATTCTATGGTTTAAGTTTCGCTCACAGGAGAAATGAAATTATTACATGATGATTTTTGAAAATTTGATCCAGGTGCAATGGCAAAAACATGCTTGAAGTAGATTTTGAGCCATTTAATGCAACATTCCCTGGACCAACTCGATCATCCTCTATTGGTAATGGGGTTCAATTTCTCAACCGTCATCTATCATCATTCATGTTTCGTAACAAAGAAAGTTTGGAACCTCTCCTTGCTTTTCTTCGCGCACACAAATATGATGGCCATGTAAGTTTGTCTAAAAGCATCATTCAATCATTTAGAAACAGTGATATTTATTTGTAGAAATTTTGACTGATGCCCAGAAATCTTAAAATATCAATATAAAGAGGTGAGTTTTGTGCCTGAACAACGGTCCATGCACTAGCTGTGTTATGCGCCAAAGTGTACTTATGTTGTTGGACGTTCAGCCTATTTTTGACCATGTAAGTTCCTAGTTTACCCAGTTTTGTGCCTGAGCTTTGATACTCATGTGGTACATGTTCAGCCTATTTTTGACCATGTAAGTTCCTAGTTTACCCAGTTTAGTGTTTGTGATGCAAATACTTTTTTCTTTTTTTCTTATTCTGAACTGTTTTGAACAGGTATAATAAAAGTCTATTAGGAGATCATATGGGAAAGTTCCCAGCTCCTTTTTTGATGAATACCATCCACTTTACAATTAGTTTTCCTTATGCAAATTGTTAAAGGAAATCAGGTATCAAATAAAGTCTTTAAAAAATTGTAGATTTTATTGTCCAAGTAAAAGTTCAAATCTAATTTGTTATTATTATAATTTCAGGCAGCTGAATTGAAATCTCCAGTAGATTTGAGACGTTCTTCTCAATCTAGCCATGTTCTTGAAGATAATGGAGGATCACCATGAGGAACTATTTAGAAATTTGCTTCAATTTTAGTTTGTTAGGAGCTTTTAGAACCATCTTTATATTTTTGTTGTTTTTATGTACCTAAGTTTCTTAAACTTAAGGACCATTTCTATGTTTGAAAGATACAAAATTTGGATTTAATATCTTTATTTAATGAATGACATTTTTATTTGCATCATCTGTTTTAGTTTATCTTGATCACGTGTTTGAGATGAGAATTTAAACAAATAGGTTGAAAATGTAATTATAAAAAACATTTAATTATAAATTGGACGCGAAATAAATTGTGGCGGTTAAAAACTGCTACAAATTGTTAATTAAAATGCATGTTTATATTTGCGGCGGTTTCCAAAACCGCCATTACTTTTTAACTAGTTTCAGTTTTCAAAATAGCGACAATTTTATAAC